CTGGTAACCTCAATTTCGTCTTTGGTAAGCATCCAGTCTAGGATAAGATTTGGTTTCTTAGATAACACTTCACCGGTTTTTCGATCAAAATGTAGTGTTTGCCCGTCATATGCAAAGCTTACACATCCGTCCTTATCAGCTCCAAGACTGTCCAGTTCAGTATGTTCCTGTCCAAGAAAGAAGAACAAAAGTACTTATTTTTTAACTTATATAAATACTAAACAGCAGATTGTTATTGAAGAACAAAAAAAATAGCTGATGAGTCTCAAAATTAACCTTTTAAGATTTACAATTTGCCATATTTAGTTCGCAAATAAATTTAGCAATAATTGGCCGTAATAATACAGTGTAAAGTTGCAAAACTAAAACCTCGAAAAATTTTTTTCTTTTAGTATTTAGTTCATCTTCAAGAAGAATAAGATATTTAGACATCAAATCTTCTTTAACTATCTGCTTCCAAACATTTGATACAGTTTTACTCGCTTCCTCTTTTTTCTTCTCACTGAGGTTTTCGTTCAATTTGATCACTGCAACAACAAAAAAGAGCAATATGGTCATTAAAAAAATTTGCTGTCTTAGAGACCGTAAAAAAGCATAAAAAATTAATTCAAAAAATTTTTAAGCCATAAATTTATTACTAATTAAAATTAAAGCAGTACTTAAAATGCAGAATTAAAACTTCTTAAAAAATATAGTTTTGAAATCTAACTTTCTTTTATTTCGTCCAGTATCATATCAATGCGAGAATTAACTTTTTGAATTGTTTCAGCTGCCTTTGTCAAGTCATAATTGTTCAGCTTCTTCATAGCAACCATATAAGCTGCAGCATAATTTTTTTTAAAGCCATCAACGTCTCCCACAGCTTTCTCAAGCAGCACTTCATCGTTGGTTTCACATGCACGACGTAGCCAAAGTGCTGAAAAGAAACAACAAATGTTTTTGACCACCTATCCAACAGAAGAAGCTGCATAATATTTAAAAACTGCTGTTAAAATTGATTTCTGTTATAAAATAGATTATTGAATAAATAAGAAAAAAATATATAAAATAAATTACAATAACGTGTGAGAACCTACATTTTAGATAGGTACTATTTCCTGCGTTTTCAACCAGTTTTTCAATCTCTCCTGTTCCAAGTATAAAGTTTTTGTCTTTACCAGCGTAAGCTTCTCGAAAAACTGCCAAATATTCTGACTTTAAATCTTCGTTTAATTTCTCTGCGAAACTAGTGTGTGAATTATTCAGAAGCTCGTAAAGTCTTTCCGCGTCGTTATCCATCACACAGAATTTTACACGAATACAGAAGTTGACAGCTACAAATGAGCAAATCAGTTGTTTTTAGAAATTTTAGTGATAAGTTGTATACTTCTATTTTTTTTTCAGTTTTTTAAAGATCGCTTTTGTTAAGGAGAACACTTCCGTAGTTTCCTGTCATTACGACAGACAGTGACTTCGCAAGTAAATAAAAGGTATAATTATATTTCTAGAAAAAAAAAAAGTAAAGGCTACATAATTATGTTACATTCAAATTAAAATAACTCGATGAGTGAAAAACCAATAAATAAGTGAGAACAAAAATACATTAAGTAGGCAAGTTTCTTCGAATTGTGTAAAGTCTTGGGGTACCTTCTTTTTAGTTCTCCCTAAACTTGCAATTGGAATACTTCATATCGATTCTTGTACAATATATAAAAAAAAAATCACCCTCTATAACGTCCTCAATCTCAGCCGTTCTCAATGGTGCACCTAAACTTTGTCGTTTCTTAAAAAGCTCTTCAGCATACAGCGATTTGGCATGTTCCATAATTTCTTCTATTCTCAAGTTGTAAAGAACTGTCACAATTTCTGCTAAATCGAATTCCGGTGATTTTTGTAACAACGTTTCCAACTTTTGTAAGCCTTGTTTCTCTAAAAAAAACTATATGAGCATTTGTTAATGCACTTTTAATATATTCACTTATACTGTCGGAAAATTTACCATTCACCGAGATGATAACATTCTGAATTTGAGATACAGAAGGTTCAGCACCATCACGTTGTGTACTCTGAAGGTTAGTAAGTGCTTCATGATACGGAATGATCAGACTGTCGTCCACGTACAAGAGGGCAACTTCTGGGCTTTTTAAAAACGCTAACAGCAAATCCTGTAAAAATACATAATGTTACATCAGTTGTTCTCACCGCTACTTATGGTTTTAGGCTTATAAAAAGTTATGAGATAGAAAAACACAAAGCATTTGAACGTTACCGGATCTCTCAGTGATTCCTTAAACCGTAAATTTACTGCTTTCTCTGCTTCAGCGGCAGGAGTCTTTGACAACTCTCCACTAACATCCGAAAATGTTGGTATCGTGCTGTCCTTTAGACGTTCTCGCATCTCTTCTACAGCTTGTGCTGAAAGGACTTCCGATCAATTTGCACGGTACTCTTGAAAAAAGCTAGCAAAGAAAGAAGAAGGAAATACAAAAGTTATATGTTGTTTCACAAGTTTTATTTAACTACTGAAAACTGACTTTATGATATTTCTAGCCAGTGGAAGTGCACAAAACTAGTTAGAAATCCGATGACGATAAAATGACATACGTGAGAATACCGCATTGTAGGCTTGGCTACGAATCGGCGGAGCTCGTCGAAGACGGAATAGATGAATTGCTAAAGCATAAATGCAAAATATTGTTCGAACATTACGCCCCTCATAAATGTCTGACGTTTCCGGTATAAATACCTTAAACAATATTGACTATATAGAATAAATTAACAGATACTACCACTAGATTGTAATGCAGCTGATTTGGTTTTTGAATAGAGAAGAAATCAGAACCACTTGTGAAAAAAGTTTCCAGCCAAATGGTAACGTTTATTTATTTTAAGAAATCTTCCCACAGCTAATATGCAAAAATGTTGTTTCGTGTAGGATTAACTAATCCTGAATTTGTTATACTCATCAATATTATCCGCTGTCAGCCTCCACTTTTAGTTTGACTGCTGAATAATGCATAAAGCTAGAATAGCAAGAAGTTTATTGCTTTTTATGCCATTTAGAAAAGAAGCAAAATCAGATACTTCAAGTGATCTTGATGCCAAAAATGACAAAAGACCAGAATTATATCTAGTTTTCAGAAAAATAATTTTACCGTTGTTTAGTATTACCATCAAATTTTAAATGCAGAAAGATAAGCTAACTTAAATAATGCTGTTTTTATCAGTTTTCAATCGAAAAATTTCTAATACTACACATATCGAATGCCTGAAATATCATTGTTTATTGAACTTATGTTGACTATTTTATCTTTTTATTTCTCAAGTTATTTTTAGAAATAACCAAGAGTTTACAGCAAACAAACGTGTATCATTTTTATTTGGCTACAAATTTGGTATCTGTTCTCTCCAATAATGTATTTTTTTGCTGAACAAAAAGATTTATTTGAGTTTTTAAAGCACTAGTAACTCAGTAAAAGCAGGTACTTCAGAACAAAACTTCCTGATCGATAGTCATAAAACTGTACCCTAATGTATGCTTTTTCGTTTACAGTGGTCTTCGTCAGAACTAAGTATTCAAAAATTTTTTTTTAAACGTAGATCAGAGATGCTTTTTGAGAAATAATAATATTGTTGGGTGGAAAATAGCTGCTATTTCAGTTTTTAATCTTTGTGCTCAAACAATCCAAAAATCAGAGCTTTTTTTGAGGTTGTTTTTAACAGGTGATAAATCTTCAAAAATACAACGTAATACATAGCGTTACTACCAAA